CCCCCCCCCCCCCCCCCCCCCCCCCCCCCCCCCCCCCCCCCCCCCCCCCCCCCCCCCCCCCCCCCCCCCCCCCCCCCCCCCCCCCCCCCCCCCCCCCCCCCCCCCCCCCCCCGCCGCCGCGCCCCCCCCCCCCCGGGCGAGCCCTCCCTCTCATGGAGACCCATGATCCATAGACAAACATAATTAGAATGATTTCTCAAGTTTATTATATGAATTAAATAAGGCGAATAAACTGTTTATCTAGAACACTTTTTTCATCGATACTTTTGAACTTTTGGACCAAATCGATGTTTGAATCGATCGACCTTAGATCGTTTAGGTAATGTGTTAAAACGTCTTGATCGAGCTGATCGTACTTCAGTGTTCTTTTGATTTTGTTCGTTTTGATGGATGGATAAATCTTCACTGTACGAAGTCGGCGACAGGCTGTCGTCGACTACATAAATATGATGAAAGTAATCATTATCTTCGTCATATTTATGCAGTGGTGAAAGACCTAATAGTTCATTTAGAATGGTCGACTTGCCAGCTTTGCGAGGTGCGCATATGATTATCGTGTAATGACTAGTCACGGTTCTTCCAGCTAAACTAGAAAAATATGCAATGTTGGAGCTTGATGATAAACAATCCGTCCGATAGTAGTCTTCTTTAGGTACATAAGTGCCTCTCCAAGCGAATGTATTGCAAAAATTGTCAGGAAGTTGTTTGTCATCGTCGTACAAATATATGAAGGAGTCGATCTTACGATGCTGAACAATTTGTTGCGTAGTAGGTAGCAGACGTTGTTGCTTGTTAGAAAAAAACGTATAGCAAAATTCTTTCGCCACTATTAGCGTATGATAACGAAATCGTGAATTAAAAACAGTTGCATTGGAGAGAATGATTCTGATCAACGAAAAAATTTTATCACCCATGCATGAGTCATGTAAATTGTATTCATTTTTACCCAAAGCTATTATGAATTCTGCAGCTGTCTGTCGTGCTTCTGAGATGTTTGCCTTGTGATATACAACACATTTTTCACCATTATCAGTTTTGATTGGATTCGATAAGACTAAAGATGTGTGTTTTAGAAGAGGTGGAGGAAATAAATCGATACCAAGATAATCAAATAATTGAAGCGTGTCCAATATATTATCATCCTCTGCTACTTCGTTAAATAATGTGTATGGCTGTTCAGAAGTAATGGAACGAAAAATAGACATGAACCAAGTGTATTCAATTGGATGACTCAATAAATATTCACCATTTTCATTTTGGGATACTGACAAATCATCTTTATGTGTCACTAGAGTAAATAGGTAAGGAATACGATTAAGTTGTTGTTGGGTGAGATGAACAACTTTATCAGATGTGCCAAAACGAAATCCATAAAACACTGTTTTATTAGAATCGCCTATAACAGACACTTCGGTCATGGTGTAGAACATTGAATTGACCAAATAATTAACTGTGTTCTCGATAACAATGCTTTTTATGCAAGAAAAATAATATGTCATATCTTTTCCTTTCTCATAGTTGTGAGTCATACGTTATGTTGGCTTTTTCCAACTATCATCGTTATTCATAAGAATTTTTTCGATACTATGTTGGAAATTATATTGGAAATAGTACAAATATGTGTCTGGCAGACTTGATATTTGGCAACTGAAATCATTTCGGTTCAAACTCAGACACTTTAACTTTTTCTAGTCACAAATGAAAACAGCAGATTTTTTGAAAATAAAAAACAAGTAGAAGAATTATAGGTAAAATGCTCAAATGCTGAAAAATCATAGACAGTTGTAATTTGAGCAGTAGAGAAAATCAATCGTATGAAAACAGCATGCAGACTTAATAAATGTTCTGTAGCAAAAATGAGACTACTCTGAGCGAGATGTATAGTTCAATTTTTCGATTTTCAACACATTATAAGTTAGGGTTGTCACTTTTTTTTCGCGAAAAAAAAAAACTTTCATGGAGTAAAAATTCTTTTTAGAAAAGAAAAGCAAAAAGAAAAGATTCTGTTTTCGAAAAACAAAATTTTTTTGAATAACGTCTGCTGGCTCCAGTAAAGTGTTTTGTCGTCATCGTACTTCTTAGCCATCCTTCATTGTAATGATTAAATGAAAAACACAAAATGAATGAGTCCTTCTCTCTGCTTCTTACAAGAACATTTGAATATTTGTTTTCTCTAAAGCAATTTCGAAAGTGTGAGTAAACAAAAAAATGTTTGATTGAATGGGTAATGTCCACCAGAAAGAAACTGTGCGAGTGCTCAGTAGTAAGTACAGTACAGTTTTGGTGACCGTCAAAATTCGTATCAGTGAATTTACTCACCGGCGACTGGATTGGAAAGAAAATTGAGTACAGTATTGTTAATCTGCCTGAAAAAAAGAATATGGAACTATCGTAGTCACGTCACATAACAGAAAGAACATATATGTATACATTCTTTTCTGTAGTACACTTGACTGAAATGATTTGTATATTTAATCGGTAGTATTTGTTGTTACGAAATTGTTCTAATCAGCGTGGGGAGGGATCATACGTTCTGTTACAACCTTATTTATCCAGAAGCATTAGCAGAAAAAGTTGACATAATATCTGAATATTTTACTGAAAGGAAAAACTTTTTGCAAATTTTTTAACTGAAATCATTGAATGTATAGACTTCATTTTACGTTCATTCTATGGAAAACCTTTTACTGTATAAAATGCAGGTGTTTTCATGTCAGCAAAGAAGCATGCTTTATATTCCAATCGAGCTATATGCCAAAAACGTATGTTCTAATCGGGATATATAGTACGTGGACAAACAGCATGGACTGCGTCAAAAAGTGATTTTTGGCCACTGGAATTGATTGGATGAAAAGTTCACAGAAATTCACTTCTGAGCTTTTAGTCATAAATTCAAAGGGTCACCTGAATTCTCCCAGTCAATTCTAAGAAAAAAGCAAAACAGCGCCCTCTATATGAGTTTTCTCAGAATTGACTGGAAGAATCCAGGTGACCTTTTGGATTTATGACTAAAAGCTCGAAAATGAATTTCTGTGAACTTTTCATCCAATCAAACATTTTTTTGTTTACTCACA